GCACTGTATTCAAATGTTATGCTGCTTCCAAATCAAAAGTTATTGCTATATAATCTTCTGGAAAAGTGCTCTACACGGAAGGCTATTACTCTTTACGAGTAAACTGTGTTTTCAGAGCGAGTTGGACAGTGTCACCACTATCGACCAAGCCATTAACTCGCACAGGTATGCTTGATTATCTTGAATTGTTCCAAGTCCAAGTAAATTTTTTAGAAGAGCCATGAAAAGTATGATGCAACGAACACTACTAGATGTGAGCAATCTCACCACTGGTAGAACTGTGGAAGTGGTAAGTTAGGAGTTCACGGGGTATCTCCGTAAAATTCTAAATGATTCAGATGTGTGAGAGTTGCGTACGATTTGCGCAGGCTATGAATTCGGGTGACGAAGCAAGTGCTTTCATCCACTACCGGCAATTCGATGAGCATGCTCAGCTATTGCGAGAAAGTAGGTGCTTAGAAAAAGTACTACTAAAATTCTATCCCCCAATTTTTTTTCAGAATTGAGTGTTGAAAGAACAAATATTTACGCTCGCACGTTACTGTGGCGAATCGGAAACAATGGAGAGCTCTTTGAAACGGAGGAAGAAACTACGCTCTTTGACTATAGTAGCCAGCTTCTTTCAAAAGCATCCACTTTTCGATCACTTCGAGAACTATCACAAAGTGCTTCCCAACTCATATTCTGAATGTGGTCCTGAAGAGTGTGAAGAGTTGTATGTGATACTATTGTGGAATGCTTCTGAACTAGAATACTTCTAAGAAGACATAGTACGAATGAGTATTGAGTTTATTACGTGTGGCTGTTTATTGTAAATATTGTGTCTTTGTGATAGGAATACGCATGACATATTACCAATTTTGCTATCAAATGGATAAAGAGCTCCATTCAATTTTCTCTATTGTGTCGCATCAGTGTGAACGTCTTCAAGTTGGAGCAGTCCTAGGTAGCCTAGTTGCTCTGAAAATCACTGATTCGTGCTCAATTCCCATCAAAGGTCATGGCCATCAGTTCCTTTATGTAACCTAGTCGCCAATTTCTGCCGTCCGAATTTTTCAGCTCTGTTTTCATAAATTGAGATTGACTTTTCATGTCCGTTGCGAATGGTCTCCATCATAGTAGGGATATACAAACCACTTACAATTCGTCAATGGCTCATCGCGCACTAGGTGACCCAACCCGGGCAAACATCTATAAACTCTGACACCTTACCGTGCATATGCAATAGGGCATTTTTTATACATCAGAAGATGCTCCCCGAGCTGAGTTAAATGGTGCCCTTTCATCCACCTAGAACCAAGATATGGATATGCGACGCGAATTTCGGTGACTTTTATGCCTAATTAATATCGGTATTGTTCTTTAAAGAAGCTGATAAATCTGTGGATCAGACTACTGCAGTTAGGTAGATGTTTTAGTCGTCATGGTGCAGAATTGATTGTGCGATTGTGCGAGTCAGCAATAGAAATAGAAGTAATTCATCTATGTCGAGACATTCTAAGTTATGAATCATACACTTGAAAAAAAAAGGTTCTGCTCAGACTGGGCATTACTATAAGGTAAAGAAGTGGTGCCTACATGTTTTTGAGGGAGACTCGCGCATAGCAGCACACTCACTGGAGTCGCTGTTTAGGAATCCTTTTTGTCGGTTTCCTACTACTTGAAGGACTGCTGTGGGAACATTCATTATTTGGATAAATAATACATGAACACTGCATTCCATCGCAATTCTTCTTGCAAAATGGAGCTTTACCGTACTAACGGATACGGCACCCGCGCAAGATTGATCTGCCAATCGGAGATCAAGAAAATTGGCGGGAAGACGAGCGCGAAAGAGCGTTCTAGAATCTCATTGTCGATATTCCATTCGCTAGTGTCGCGACACATTCAATTCATACTCATTCAGTCTTTCTTATCCATATTCTATAAGTTCACCAGCCTTATTAGCTGTCATTGGAATTTGCACTGGTAAGTGCGATTTTCTCTAAGCTTCACTACCTCGTATTTTTAGATCATATTTGTCAGGAATATTACGTCCATGGTAGTCTAATCGGAGGAGGCAATTGGGCCATTTGGTGACAGAGAAATGCAGAAGTCCTCTAAGTACTTCGGTGCTCAATCTAGCCTAAAGAATTACAACTACGGCGCAAGTGAAAGGAGGATAGAATGTGAGTTGTCCGACTATCACTGAACT